GTCAGCTAAGTTCCGAAGCGTTCCAAAGTTCCGAAATCCGAGGTTCCTCAATTTTTTAGCAAACCTAGCATATTCATATACCATTTTCTTCCAAATTTTGTCAGCTATTCAAAACATTAGCTAAATCCGGGATTTTTTCTCATGCGTAGCGGCTACTTAAAAAAAAACCGCAAAAAAAGGCCTTTTTAGGCCATTTTTTCAAAATGGCGGAAAATGCTCACCGGATACGCGGTAGGAAACTTCAGATTCGGATTCAGCGACCGAAAAAACATAATGTGAGCCAAAAAAATCGCTGTGTACCCAAAATTCCAGGTAGACTTACCAGGCACCTGCACTAATTGTCAGGATAAGACTGACAACATCAACATTGATGTAACCTTGATAGACCGGCAATCAAGGAGATGTCAAGAAGTGTCAACCTGATAACAATGTTGACGGGGGCATATCAATATTATGTAAGATTATTGTAATGTTACTTCAACCTTACTATCAATGTTGTTGCAATGTTCAGGCAAGTCCCTGGCAGTAGCACATCAACATTGATGCAATCTTACCTCATTCTTACTAAGATGGATATAATATGGCTGCAATGTTGATGTGTAAGATGTGCAACATTACTTATACTAAGATTGTAATAAGGTTCTATGCTGAGTGGGTCTTTATTTTCTCCGAAACTAATGAAGATAAATTAAATCGGTAAAAATTGTTTTTACCATTATACTCTCAGCTTTTCAAAAAGCCTTTGTTTTTTAAATTTGGTTTAACGGTTTGCGAGTGACGTCATTTTTCCCGCGCCCATCTTTCATCACCGTGTGTCCAAAATATTCGAGCGCGGTGGAGCTCCTCAGACAAGTACATGTTTTGGCTACGGTGTTTTGAGACGCTCAAGGAATATTGCTGATCGATTTCTTGGAAAGAGGAAAAACGATCGATGCCGCAAGATATTGTGAAGTTTTGAAAAATCTTAAGTCAGCGATCAAGCGAAAACGGCGTGGTCTTTTGTCTCGTCAAATTTTGTTCCTTCATGACAACGCTAGGCCTCATGTGGCTCATGTGACTCAAGAGTTTTTCGCCTCATTCAAATGGGACCTTTTTCCTCATCCATTGTACTCACCGGACCTTGCTCCAAGCTATTTTCATATTTTTCCTGTTATATCGGAAAAACTAAGGATGATGGAAAAGAGAAGTGCATGAGTTGCGTGACATAACGACAGAGTATATTGATAAAGATACAAGCTTGCTCTGCAGGCCTGACACCTAAGTAGCGACAATATCACTACTCGTACACACTACCAACTGCTACATAACAGTCTTCCTGCCCATTTTAAAATCTGAGGGATTTTAAAAGGAAAACATACAAGAAAGATTTAAGCTCTGATTTAAAATGTACAAGAAAAACATACAGAGAGAATGGATTTACAATTTTCAAGAGCTGTAAGGGCAGGAGATGAGTTAGAGTATTTATACCTTTTAAACAATACAATTTCAATAGAATGAATTATTACAGACAGATTGGTATGTATTGATATATTAAGGTGGAGTATACCGATCTGGAGGTTTAGATGGTCTGATAGATTTTCTAATTATTGCTCTTCCCCTACCTACTGAGGGGGGTTGAGATACACTAGATAGTGGTAGAGTCCCTTTATACCCAGAGTTACGACAACTCACTTTTGGTTGGGCCAGGATTGGGCTGAAAGTGGCCTAAAAAAAAATCCAATTCTGATTGGTTCTCGCTCATGGAGGCCGAAACGAGTGCACCAAGATGGCGGTACCTCGAATGTGAACAAGAATAATGAAAATATTACCTAATTGTGGTTTATCAAGAGTAAATCGTTATTTCCATCGGTCCAAAATGAAAATAGATTAAGAAATTATTCACAAACCAATCTCATTTTCTTTTTAATTGATCACTTTGTTGATGTTGTTGTTTTTGTGTGACAGACATCGCAGGATTCCTGATCCTTATCCCTCAATATCGTTCGTTTGGGTGCACTCGTTTCGGCTTCCATGGCCAGCCAAGGCCGGTTGCCAGTCAGCTGATAATCGAGTTGTCGTAACTCTGGGTATAAAGGGACTCTAGATAGTGGAGTACGATTTGTACTTACAGGCGGTGATTCATCTAAAGTAATAACAACTGCTGTTTCATCTGGAGTAAAAAATGTTCAGGAGATTAGACATTAAGAGGTCTTGCTTGACTGGTTGGAGTGACTAGAGCATTGTTAGACCGTTGTAGAGAGATTGGAGATTGTTGCTTTGGCGGAGATTGATCATTTCTTGGTTGACTTTGAACTTGCGGAGAGCTTCGGCTTGTTTGAGATTCTGGAGTACGTTGAGATTGTGAGGAGTCTTGACATGCTTGAGTGCCTTGTTGCTGAGAAGAGTTCTGAGACGTTTGTGAGTTTGTTGGTATAGGAGATTGTTTTGTTGGTACTGGAGTTTGGATGATTTGTAGAGGAGTATGAAGGTCCGTTTGTAAAAAAAACTTGCGCACAACTCTGACCGCGGAGCATCAGTGCATCGTTCGCATTGGTTTCACCGGTGCAACACATCGGTGCCACCAGCCTTCCCGGCTTTTAATTGACTCGCAATTTTCCTCAATTTTCTTTAGTTTGAAAGAAAATTTCTCGTGGAAACCTCTCTGAAGTGCTTCTCAAAGCGACTACAAAGCTATTGATATATTACACCTACCATGTTTCTGTTTTTTTACTTTCAATTTGAATCAAGTCTCAAAAAAAAGCTGTACCTAACCTAACCTCAAAGAGAAAACATTGCAAATAGCCACCAGCAGTTCTCGATCTGAAATTTGACGAATTTTCAATTTAAAATCATCTTTTGTGACCTAAAATGGTTTTTCGTCTTTCAATCAGTGTCGTCTTAATACCTTTTCACTTCAGTTTCTGAAGTTTATGGCGTTTCTTCATTGTTCCTTTCGCTCCTAATGGTTGAAGCTGAAGCCAAGTAGCTCGTCGGTTTGATCTGCTTTTTTTCCTCGAAGAGGATTTAATTGTGCCTCTCCTTCAAGTCTCAGCTTTAGCAGTGTTACTTTTTCATCATAAACAATTACTTCGGTAATAATCAAAAGTTTACATTTCAGTTCTGTATCTACAAGTGTCTGCATCAGGATAGAGTCCCTTTATACCCAGAGTTAAGACAACTCACTTTTGGTTGGGCTGAAAGTGGCCTAAAAAAAAATCCAATTCTGATTGGTTCTCGCTCATGGAGGCCGAAACGAGTGCACCAAGATGGCGGTACCTCGAATGTGAACAA